AAGCTCAGTGGCACCAACACCGTAGCCTGAATATGACTCTGTGAAATTCTCAAAATCATTAATGTGGTGTAGCAAAAAGCCCACTAACTTACATATGCAAAGACACACACACACACACACACACACACACACACACACACATACATTAAGGGTTTCCCAAGCATGGCTCAGGTTTCCCAAATCTGGGGGGTCCTTCCCAATGATTTTTAGCCAATTGTGCTGGTGTGCCCAAAACTGCACTGCCACTCAGACCATGTGGTGCCTAGGATTACTCCAGGTGGCCTTGTGGTGCTGGGAGAGTGAGGGGAAGGATGTTTAAGACCACATTTGGCAGTGTTTGGGGCCCCAAGTAGTGCCAGAGATCAAATGGGGTCAGCTGCAAATAAGGTGGGCGTGTTAACCCCTGTACCATATCTGATGAAGCAAGTCTTGATTTTTAAATTATCCTTAAAATTAAGTAACTACAGGGGCTGGATTGATAATACAGTGGGTAAGGTACTGTGGGTACTTGCTTTACAGACATCTGACCTGGTTTTGATCCTCCATATCCCATATGGTTCTATAAGCCCCACTAGGAGTAATTCCTGAGTGCAGAGCCAAGAGTAACCCCTGAGTACTGTCGGGCATGGCCCCCAAACAAAAATTAAGTAAATATATCATAGGTAGTCACGATCATGATCACGATCATCCTGTTATTCATCGATTGCCTCGAGCAGGCACCAGTAACATCTCCTTCACCCTAGCCCTGAGATTGTCAAAAGTGCCATATTCCATATTCAAGGCTCTTTCAGATTAGGAGAATGAGACCCATCATCGTTACTGGTATTTGGCATACTGGGTACACCACGGGGAGTTTGCCAGACTCTGCCGTGTAGGCTGTTACATTCAGCCTGCTAGGTTGTCCAAAGAAAGAATGAGATAGTAAGATGTCACGTGGCCGCGAATGCGGCCGCACACTTCCAGGAGCTGGGTTTTATAGTCTCTGGGTCTTGGCCATTGATGGGATTACATGGTGTGTGTGTGTGGGGGGGGGAGTTGGTGGGTGTGACCCCTACCTCCTGGAAGATGGAGGATCTGGGTGGAGGATGCTCAGCCCCAATCCAAGCAGGCTTGGGGATCTGAGCCCCGGGACCCACATGCCTTTGTTCCTCTGTCAGTACCTTCATGCATGTGGAGAGTGGTCTCAGCATGGTTGTGGCTGGTTCTGGAGGTCTTCGGCTGCTGGGGCTCTGCTCAGGGCGGGGAACAAAGCTCAACCCACCCCCTTTCCAAGGGGCCCCAGGGAGGACAGCCAGGCGCGGGGGCAGGAGACTCTGCGCTGTTCTCTTCCAGGAGCTGGGTTTCCCTCCTCACCCCAAGCAGAGCCCTAGCAGCCGAAGACCTCCAGAACCAGCCACAACTATGCTGAGACCACTCTCCACATGCATGAAGGTACCGGCAGAGGAACAAAGGCATGCGGGTCCTGGGGCTGAGATCTCCAAGCCTGCTTGGATCGGGACTGAGCATCCTCCATCCAGATCCTCCACCTTCCAGTAGGCAGGGGTCACACCCACCAACTGCCCCCTAGCACCGTGTAATCCCATCAATGGCCAAGACCCAGAGACTATAAAACCCAGCTCCCAGAAGAGAACAGCGCAGAGTCTCCTGCCCCCGTGCCTGGCTGTCCTCGTCGGGGCCCCTTGGAGGGCGGTGGGTTGAGCTTCGCTCCCTGCCCTGAGCATAGGTAGTCAAGACTATGTATTCCTTGTATCCTAAAGATCAAAAGCACATATGTAGAAAAGAATGTATTCCTCCACAAAAAACCACATGTGTATTTTTTCCTCACTCTCTTCATAATGGTAACATGCTGTAAGTTCACAACATATATAAACTATATAAAGCACATCAAGTACTGGCGATCATTCCCAGATTAGAAACAAAAACTTGTTTTGCTTTGGGAGAGGATACATGCCACATTCTACTGTGGCGCCATATGTCATTCAATTAACTAGTTTCCTACCCTACTGGTGTGCATTTAAGAAATTTCCCATCTTTTGCCACTACAAATCGCTGCAACTAATAACTGCACAAAAATATTTTCATATACATTACACAGGGTTTTGAAGAGGATCAAAGTTTTATTACGAAAAAACAAAACAAAACAGCACATTACTGGCAGAGGGCAAAACTCAGAAAAGGCCCAAAGATATAAAACAGAAAATATAAGATGTAAGAACAATGGTGCCATATAATGAAGGGAAAATCAACTAGAATCAGATTACTTGTACATAATTTTATAGTACTTTTAGTCAGAAAAAAAAATTAGATTTGTACTTTTATTTATTTTTTAATTATTATTATTTTTTTGCTTTTTGGGTCACACCCGGCAATGCACAGGGGTTACTCCTGGCTTTGCACTCAGGAGTTACTCCTGGTGGCACTCAGGGGACCATTATGGGATGCTGAGAATCGAACCCGGATTGGCCGCTGTGCTATCTCTCCAGCCCCAAGATTTGTACTTTTAAAAGTCTGTGCAAACATCTTAAATGTTCATCAAATGATGAGTAGATAAATAAGATGTGCTATATTCACACAACGGGATTAGTAGTAACCAGGAATGAAGTAACAGGAATGACCTTGAATGACCAATAGAAAATATTTACAAAAGACGACATGTTGCATGATTTCATTTATATGAAATGTCCAGAACAGGCAAAGTCACAGAAGCAGAAAGTAGACTGGTGAGTACCTGAAAGGAGTGGGTGAATTAAGGACAAAATGGGAGTGATTGCTAACATTAAAGTTTTTTGTGGGGGTGGTGATGAGTATTCTAAAATTGTGGTAGCAATTGTAAAAATCCATGAGTATTACTAAAAGCAAACTTAAAAAGAAAAAGAAATAAACTCTAGTTTATTACAGAGAGAAGGGACTGAGAGATGTCAAGAATAGAGGTAGGGGTTGGAGTGATAGTACAGCTTGTAGGGCATTTGCCTTGCACGTGCCTGACTTGGGTTTGATCCTTAGCATTCCATATGGTCCCCCAAGCACTACTAGCCAGGAGTAATTCCTGAGTGCAGAGCCAGGAATAATCCCTGAGCATCACCAGGTGTGACCCCCCCCCAAAAAAAAAACCAACCGAGATAGTATAATTAGGTAACAGTCTAGGTTAGAGATGATGAGGGTGGTGCCAGAGTGATAGTACAGGAGGTAAGGTGCTGCTCTTGTACGGGGCTGACTGGAGTTTGATCCTGGCAACCTATATGGTCTCTGGAGCACGTTCAGGAGTGATTCCTAAGTGGAGTCAGGAGTAATTTCTGAATATTGTCACTGTGGCACCAAAACCAAAACCATAAGATGATGAGAATCTAATTTTAAGCAAAGACCAGGTAATAGTGACAAGGAGCAGAGATGGACTGGAACTATTTGGAAGGAAAGAGCAACAGAACTTACTAGCTGGCTAGATAAGAAGTATGTAGGAAAGGGAGAGATCTTGGAATTTCTGATCTGGGTGACTGGTTGAAGAATCATTACTCCTTTCTACTCAACTGAGACAAACTAAAAATAGAAGAACAGACTAAGAGCAAAAGATACTATTATATGTAGTGTTCCAGCTGCTATAGGACAACATGCTTAAGCTGTCTAGTAGTCTAGTATATGAACTGTCTTTGAGGGGCCCTGAGATGGGGAGTTGGGGCTATAAAGGAACCGGGATGAGCAAAAAGGAAAGCAATTAAAACCAGCCCAACTGCTCTGGGAAGGGAAAAAAGCAAGCAAGATAAGGGCTACTGAGGACACTCTGGGCAACATTTCAGAAGCAGGTTGAGAATTAGCAGTGGCGGGACAATGAAACATTACTCACACCCTCAGCAGCTTGCTGTGGTCATGGTGAGCAACCAGACTCAAGTGCTTTGTTTCCTTTCTATTAACTCTAATTCCTTCAGAATTTCACAAAGAAACTAATAGGGATGGCTCTGAATTTATAAATTAAGAGAGACAGTACAGTGGGGAAGGCAACTGCACAGTACACAGTCCTGGGTTCAATCCCTGGCATCCTATAGGGTCCCCCAAACACCATCAGGAGTAATTCCTGAGTGCAGAGTCAGAAGTAACCCCTGAGCACTCCTGAGTGTGACCCCAAAAAGAAAGAACGAAAGGAATAGCCAGAATCCAGGTCCATTCCCCAAATCAGACTCTTCCAACTCTGCTTTCCCCTGTTCTAAAATTCTTCAAGCGTCTCCCAACCCTCCCATCCCACTCCAGTGACTAGTAGCTGTCAGCGAGGTAAGGAGGTCTCTAGATTATATTTTTTCTTCTTAAAAACGAAACAAAAAAAAACCCTAAAGCCAAAAATTCTAAAGTTTAGGTAGCATGGCTGCAACCGCATTTAAGTTTACAATATTGATGTAAAAAGTTAATGTACCCACCATCATCATCACGAAAGTGCCCACGACCCTCCCTCACGGCCCTAATGTCACTTCTTGTCCGATCCACACTTTTTTTCCCCCCTCGCTTCTTACAGATGTGCTGGGTTGGAGCCGACGTGGACCGCCAGCCTCCTGGACGTTGTAGAATAAACGTGACTTTCCCCGTGAACTTCTCAGCGGAGGAGGGGCAAGAAAACCCAGGTTGTGGGGCCTGGGTCTCAACTAGAGGACCCTCAGCCATGTCCACTACTAGCACGCAGCGGGCCCCCAGGCCAGGGGGACAGCTCCCCCCACCCCCGACTCCCCTTAACTCACTTTTTTGATATTTGATTTGGAGGCGGGGTGAAAGTCCTTCTTGCACATGAAATTTGCGAAAGACTTCCCCATCTTGGATCCGGAGCGGCTGGGAAAAGAGGTCGAAGATTCGTGAGAGGCATAAACAAACTCTGCCGCCCAACCGGAACTGCGCCGCCGGTGGGGCGAGAACTTCCGGGGTCAAAGGGGACAACTTCCGGTGTCTCCTTCTTGACCTGTTCTCACACCGTCCCTTTTCCCCCCTTTCACGTGGGGTACCTGGGCGCACAGGTGAGGGGCGTGGCCAGGGGAAGGGGCGTGCCGATTAGCGGAGCGGGCTTGGTCCAGCCAGTCCCGGGAGACGGGCGGGTGGGGCAGCCGTGCCGCTAACGGTGCCGTTTACTCTCTGAACGCAGCTCTATTTGCGTAGCTTTGACTGCATCTACGTTCACCTGTGTGTTGGAAAATTCTTGCCCCGACAGCAGTAGGTGAGTGAGCGTGAAACGAAAAGCGCTCTGTAAAGCCTATAAAAAAAAAAAAACAGAAGGTCAAGCCCCCGAGAACCAGGGAATTGGTGCTGTGCCCGCTGCTGCTGGTCGGGGCTCTGGCTGCTTTGCCTCCTCAACTGGTTGGGGGAACTCCTCGCCGCCGACCGTGATCCCGCTTCCATTCGACCCTCTTTAGCTAGTCAAGTTCAGGTCCCGCTGGTGCAGCTTGATCGCCCCTGGTACTGCGGGCTCTCAGAGGCCCTGGCGGCTGTTACCGCAGTTAGAGGACCCACCAAGCCTCTTCCGAATGCGTGAGACGCTGTGATTCCGCTTAAGCGCCTCTTTAATTTTTTAATTTTTATTTTAGCCCGGCAAGCTACCGAGAGTATTCGATATGCCAGACACAGTAACAACAAAGTCTCCAATGGAGACGTTACTGGGCCCGCTCGAGCAAATCGACGATCAACGGGAGGGCCTTTACCTTTACCTTAACTTTTCTATTGTCACTGTGAGATAGACCCTTATAAAGCTGTGCATGATTGGGTTTCAGTCATACAGTATTCCAACACCTATCCCTTCATCAGTGTACATTTCCCAGTACCAGTGTCCCAGGTTCCTCCCTCCTCCTCCTCCTCCTCCTCCTCCTCCTACTCCTCCTCCTCCTCCTCCTCCTCCTCCATACAGTATTCCAACACCTATCCCTTCATCAGTGTACATTTCCCAGTACCAGTGTCCTCCTCCTCCTCCTCTTCCTCCTCCTCCTCCTCCTCTTCCTCCTCCTCCTCCTCCTCCTCCTCCTCCTCCTTTTCAGTCATACAGTATTCCAACACCTATCCCTTCATCAGTGTACATTTCCCAGTACCAGTGTCCCAGGTTCCCTCTTCCTCCTCCTCCTCCTCTTCCTCCTCTCTGTGTCTCTGTCTCTCTTTGTCTGTCTCTGCTTTCTCTCTCTATCTCTCTCCTTTTGGGCATTGTGGTTTGCAATATTGATACCGAAAGATTATTAAGAATATCCCTTTACCTACTTTTATCAGTTCTTGTCCAGTGTTAAGCACCTCTTTAAAAGCACTTTTGGGCACAAGCTCATTTAATAATGTTGAGGGAGATCTCACGAAGGCGAGATGTCCGTCATCTCTTTCTAATCTAACCTTGTGGTTTGTAATGAGTATATGAAACTATGGAAATTCCTTGAGATATTCCATAAACAGCACTTAAAGCCCTAGGATCTGGGAGGAAGCTAATGTGTATGAGTAGATAGCCATTGGAAGAAATGAAAATAAAGTTTTTTTGGTTTGTTTTTTTAAAGAGTTACTCTTCTGTCAGTAATATCCATAATAGCATCATCTGAGTGTCTACCATGTTCCATGGATTGAGCAAAAATGGATTATAAAGTCCTCAAGCAACCTTATGAGACATTGCCTCATCAGGCAGGGAGTTCTAGAGAGACTAATAGCCTGCCAGGATTATTTCACAGTGGAAGTGACTGTGGGACACATAGAAGGCAATCCAGGACTGAGGAAATACTGGATAAAAATACTGGGACTTTGCCATAAGATAGTTCTAGTGATGATTTTCCACATGGGAAAGATCAGAAGTAGTTGTGAACCCCTACCCCTCACCTCTTCACCCCAGCACTGAGGAAAGGAGAAATGCTCCTGGGAATTTCAGATTAAAATTTCTTTGTGTTTTTCTTTCTTTTTTTTTCTTTTTTAATTGAAATGTTTATTAGATTTAAATTCATTTCAAAGTGATTAGTAATTGCTTGTGGAAAGCCATTCCACAGTTGGGACTTTAAAAAATTAAGATGTAAGCTACAAGTAATGTCTATATTCTGGAAAAATAAAAAAGTCTGATATACATAAGTGTTTTACTAGAAATGAAGATTTAAGATTTTACAAATTACAAACTGATGAAGTGGATGAGAGATCAAGCAGGTAGACAGTGAAATAATCACATAGAGATAAAGTTTTGTTTCTGCAATAGACTCGGAGCATATAAGAGAACCAAGACAATTCTCTAGCCCATAATAAGAGAAAGCAGGTTTATACAGATTCAAACAGAATAAAGGAACTCATTCGAAATATGAAAGAAACTCAATTTCTTCTATCGAGGCATTTTCTTCTGATGACTGGCATAAAGCTTGTTCAAAACACTGCTAAGTATGAGTAGTCATTTGAAGCTGTGAACACAGATCATAGGGTCACAGTATGTTTTGTTGCCAAATGTTTCTGCAAGAGACCTTGGGAATCTAACTCACAAAGCCTCAGTCTAGATGAATTTAATCCCAACACTCTAGCTTGCTTATCACAAATGAAGATAAAATTTGATGTTCACTCTCAGGTTGATTTTGTTAGCTTTCTCCTGGGAATATCAACAGTTTGGAATTTGATTTTTTTTTTGTATTTGATTCAGCCTGTTTCAAAAATTTTGTCCTATTATAATCTGTGTTTAATTTTTTTTCTAGCTCAAAAGAGACCACTTATTTCATTTGAGAAAATACTGGGACTTTACCATAAGATAAGTTCTAGTGATGAGAATACAAAAATTTGTAAGTTATGTTCCCAGTCCTCAAAGGTCTGTCCTGTGAGGGGACTTGTAAAGATACACAAATAAAGAAAAACATGGTTTATACCGCATTAATGCTGTTCACATATAGAGATTCCCAGGTGCAGCAATAGTGAAAGGAGATTCAGGGACAACCGTAGTAGAAAAATATCCCAGAGGTAGAAGACTTACAGGAACTGAAGCAATAGTACAGTAGGCAAGGCACTTGCCTTACATGCTGCTGACTTGGGTTCAATACCTGGCACTGAATATGGTTCCCCAGGCCCATTAGGAGTGATCCCTGTATACAGAATCAGGAATAAGCCCTGAGTACCTAAGCCCAAGCACTGGGCATGCCCCTAAACCAAAGCAAAATGAAACAAAGCTGATTTGTAGACTAGAAAAAAGGTGCTTATCATCTCCATTTTCTTATTGATATGTAAGGTTCATTTCCCAAGTTATTTTTTTATTGATTTTGTACTGTAGTACAATGATGTTTAAAACTTTACTGAACACATTTAGGTAGGACAATCATTTGTTTGTCATCAAGTATAACTCTTTGATTTGTATACTTAAAATGTTTTAACATTTTAATTTTGAATCTTGTATATGATTTTTTAGTTTATAAAAATGGAACCTTGTTCTTGTGACACTTTTGTGGCACTACCTCCAGCAACAGTTGGCAACAGGATTATTTTTGGAAAAAATTCAGACAGACTTTGTGATGAAGTACAAGAGGTAGTTTATTTTCCTGCAGCAACTCATGATCACCAGAGAGAACGTCTTAAGGTAGGCGAAATACATATTTTCTTAGTAATGTGTTTTTAAAATTTTTATCATTGGCTATTTGGCAGAGGCTATAGAAGTTGAAAATGTAAGATCTGGGACTAGAGGGAGAGTACAGGGGTAAGGTACTTGCTTTGCACATAGCCAATTTGGTTCAAGCCCCTGCACTGCATATGGTTCCTTGAATACTACCAGGAGTGACTCCTGAGCATAGAGACAGGATTATCCTTGAGTACCAAATACCCTCACCCTCCAAATGTCAAGAATCTACAGCAAGAAGATAGTTCAAGGTGCATGTCTGAAATGGAGTATGCCTGATCCTGGTTCTATTCCAGCACCCTGTAGACCTCCAGCAATGCAGGGGGAAACCCTGGAAACTCCAAGCACGACACTTTTTTTTTTTTTGCCTTTTGGGTCACACCTGGCAATGGTCAGGGGTTATTCCTGGCTCATGCACTCAGGAATTACTCCTGGCGGTGCTCGGGGGACCATATGGGATGCTGGGAATTGAACCCGGGTCAACCATGTTGGCTGCGTGCAAGGCAAACACCCTACCCACTGTGCTATCACTCCAGCCCCGCAAGCACTACGCTTTTATAAAGAAGGATGACTGAAATACTAAACTTAAGTAGAAGCAGAAAGTGGAAACAGCAGTAGGAGTAGTCCATTCAGACCAGAGACTAAGGAAGGTTCACTGGAATTTTGGTTTCACTTGAAGTTTGATGGACAGAAACTATTCTAAGAAAAGACATTCCAGAATCTGTGACTTAGCAGTTTCATCACCCCCCCCAAAAAAATGTTAATCAGGCCCCGTGATCTCACTATTGGCATGCACATGATAGAATTGTATTTGTATGATTTCAGTATTTATTGCCATTTTAATTTTAAAACCCATTTATTATGGAACTTAAAAGGGGGCAGGGAGATAGTGCAAAGGGTGTATGCTCTGTATGCAGCAATACTGATTCAATCGTTTGACCCCTGAGCACCTCTAGGTGTGGCTCAAAGTCAAAAGTCAAACAATGGTCAAAACAGGGAACTTAAAGTAAAAGTTTTATATTATGCTTATGTTGCTATTACAAATATCTTAAGATTTTACTAGTATTGTTAAATATCAGATGTTTTCTTTAGGTCATTGTTTTTTGTTGAGGCTAATCATCTTGGATTCATTTCTATTTTAACTCTTCATATTTACATCTAGCCTCTCCATAAACCCGTTGTTCTCTTTATTTACATTGATGTGCACATACCAGATGGATTACTTCCCCACATGACACGGGCTTCTCTGGACCCTGATATAAGTCCCCTATGGGGGGTTGGTGTGATAGCACAGCGGGTAGGGCATTTGCCTTGCACGTGGACGACCCGGGTTTGATTCCCAGCATCCCATGTGGTCCCCTGAGCACAACCAGGAGTAATTCCTGAGTGCAGAGCCAGGAGTAACCCCTGTGCATCACTGGGTGTGACCCAGAAAGCAAAATAAATAAATAAACGAATAAATAAATAAGTCCCATATGGGATCTCATGAAGTACTTATCTAATTTATCAATAAATATTTCTCATTGAGATTGAGAATATCTTCAGTATGTTTTGTCTTGTACCTTTTTGTACAAAATGATTCCAGAGTATACAACTAGAAGCTATTAAGCTTTTATTAGTTCCTCTTATTAATTTTCCTTCATGACTTCATTTTTTGGTTGTAAAGTTAAACTTTATTTTTTGGTTGTAAAGTAGTACATATATTTTAGTTTTTTTATTCTTTTTTGTATTTGGGCCACACTCAGAGTGTTCAGGGCTTGAATCAGTTCTGGTGGGGCTCAAGGGGACCACATGTGGTGCTGGGGATGGAAGCTGAGTCAGCCACATGCCAGGCAAGCATCCCACCTGAACTGTCTCTCTGGCCCTTACACATTTAAATTTATTTAAACTAAGATCTATATCTGTTTCATCTCTGCTGTCACTCTTAGCAGCATGTTTTGTTATAGGAAATGCTCAGAAAATACTTATATGAGTAAAAATGCTTCATCATTAATAAAATAAACACTTTAATCATTTTATTAAAAAATTAAATGTAGTTATGCTTCATTTCTTTCATGTTGGTTACATCTTCAGATTGATTTTTAAAATCTGGGCCATGTAACTTTTCTTTCTTGGTTTTATCGTTGGAATATGACTTTCTTACAGTGTACTTACATAGAAATTGATCAAGTTCCTGAGACATACGCTGTTGTCCTTAGTCGTCCAGCTTGGTTATGGGGAGCAGAAATGGGAGCCAATGAGCATGGAGTTTGCATTGGGAATGAAGCTGTGTGGGGAAGAGAAGAAGTTTCTAATGAAGAAGCACTACTTGGCATGGACCTTGTCAGGTTATTTTTCTGTTATGTATTTTTATTATAGAGTTTGTTTAATTTTTACATTGTTTTTTGATCACACTTACTGTTCGTCAGGACTAGCCCTGACTCTGCTTAGGGTCATGGGTAGTCATTCATGGCAATGCTCGGAGGGCCAACTGGTGCCAGGGATTAAACTCAGGTCTCCTGCACATGAAGTACATGCTTAGCCTGTTGAGCTATCTCTCTAGCCTCAACGTTTGATTTTGAATTTCGTTGTAACTATTCCAAATTTCATTTTCCTTTTTTCTTTGCTTGTTTTGGGGCTTTGATACTTGATCGTTTGTGTGAAAATGATTCATAACATAGGCATGCATTCTCAAGACTCAGATATTAATTGTGAGAAGGGAAGGCATTGAAAATTATATATTTTAGGTACTGACAATACTTTATCACAGCTTGGCTAACTCACAGTAACTTCATGGAATTGTCAGTATAACTAAATATATGTTATCAATATAAATAAAGATATCAATGTTATCTATCTGTATATTTTTTGGGGGGGCTACACCTCCTGGTACTCAGGGCTTATTTCTGGCTTATGCTTAGGGATAATTTCTGACAGGGCTTGGGGCACCATATATGGTGCTGGGGATTGAACCTAGGTTAGCCATATAGAAGGCAAGTACCTTAACACCTGTATTGTTGCTCCACCATGGGTTGTATTTTTTGTCTTTATTTCACAGGTGGCATACACAAAGTTCAGAGATAAAAAAAAAAACTAACTTGCCAATGAATCACTAAGTTGGAATTTGAATATTGATCTGTTTTGGCTCCAAAAACTTTGTTTTCATGATCTCAAACTGACTTCAAAAGGGATAGTGTACAAAGTTATGTTTCAGTTTATTTTAATTTGAAAGCACATTTACTTTGACTATAATCTAAATCTCATGTCCGTGTAGTTCTTTATAGAAAATAAAGGAAATATACTTGAAAATGAGAACTTTAATATTTTTATTTTAGACTTGGCCTTGAAAGAGCTGAAACAGCTGAAAAAGCCCTCAATGTCATTGTCGAGTTATTAGAAAAATATGGTCAGGGTGGCAATTGTTCCGAGGGCACACTTCTATTTAGCTATCACAACAGTTTCCTGATAGCTGATAGAAATGAAGCCTGGATTCTGGAGACTGCAGGGAAGTACTGGGCAGCAGAAAAAGTACAAGGTATGGACAACTTTTCACGACTTAATTTGTTTTAGAATGAATAAAATATCCTTTTTTATTGCAGACATTGCATTTAATTGTCTTTCAGCATTTGTAATCACTCTTGTCTTTCAGCATTTATAATCATGCAGTCAAAGGTTGTACTGCAGGGGAAATGAAAACTTTGAAAGAACATACAGGGATAGAGTGCTATAAAGAACTTTAGAGGAGGGGCATAAAAATAAGAAGTAGACTGTGCTAGGGCAAGATTCTGCTTTTGCTTAGACAATAGACCCAAGCTGTGAATGGCTGATCAAGGAGGGATGGAACACTGGGGGCTCCTCATTCTTCAGGATCCCTGGGACTCTGAAATGGGAAGGACCACTGGTCATCTGACGCTATAACTCTGCACCCTAGTGACTGTGGAAGACTTGGTATGGCAGGTGGCTCCCTGATCTGCCAACCATTGGTGCGAAACCTCTGATATCACTCCTGTAGGGTTTGGAGGATTGTAAGGGGTGATGGGGATTGAAGCCGGGTTTCCCGTGTGTAAGGCAAGAGTCCTACTAACTGTATTATCTCTCCAGTCCCAGTACACAGGGCTTTAGGCTACAAATCTCCCCTGCACGATGGCCCATGGGAGGGGACTGCAGTGGTATGGGTTGTGGTCCAGTGCAGGAGAAGGAAGAGCATTGATTATAGGCAGCTCTTTAGGGGACTGGCAGCCTCCTTCGGGAGGGAGAGAATGATGCAAGTGACCATCCTAGACAGGGAATTATGGCTAGAGAAAAGTCTTGGTAATTTTAGCAGACATAGAGTGGCAAGAGAAGTGGGACATGTCCATCCCTCTTCAATGATAAGTTTTCTGCAGTCCTCATAACTGCAGGCAAAAAATCCTAACCTGCAACTCAGGCTATTAAGAGGGAGAGCTGGTATAGTTTAGGAGTCTGAGATCCCTTCCCCTTTACTCGGAATCTAGGCCAGACTCTTCAGACTGAGCCACTCACAGCAGCAGATGCGTACAGATGAACAGAGAAGGATCTAGGACCACAGCCATTGAGCTCAGATAGATAATAGGTCTGGTCACAAGAGGAGTGAACAGTGATGGTTTCATGCTGCTCCTCTCCAACCAGGTGAATGATTGGAGGAAATCCCTAGAAGATCTCTTACACCACCTCTGTACACCCAAGATCCTGGAGAAAAGGAAAATCAAATATTTAAGTCATATTCAAGTTAAGAGCTACAATGCCCCTACTGGAAAAGCTAAGCAAATGCCAAAATAAAGGGTGACTGCCAACAGAACAAACAAGGGGAAAAATATTTTTCAGAAACCAATATTAATAGAAATGGGGCGTGTAACTGACAAATAGAATAATTATAGTGAAGAAAATTTGTGAGATACATCAAATAATATTACATAGAATGAAAGATCAATGAAACAAAAGAAATGTAGGCATAACGGGAGTTCAGTAAAGAGCTTGAAGCTATACAAAATTCTAAATAGATGGATATGTCCCACTTCTCTTGCCACTCTATGTCTGCTATTTAGATGATGCATGTGAGCACTGCAACTAAGTGTGTGAGACTGATGGGCACTGCAACCAAAATTCAAAAAGTCAAAACAAACCGATTCAGAAAATGGGTAGACTTTTAGTAACTGTATTGCAGACCATAAGGCCCCAAAGCGGGGGGTTGGTGGAGGTGGAGAGAGGGAAGGGCAAGAAAGAGAGAGAGAGAAAGAGAGAGAGAGAGAGAGAGAAAGAGAGAGAGAGAGAGAGAGAGAGAAGACTGCCATAGAGACAGACAGCTGAAGAGGGGTGTGACGAGTGGGAAACTGGGGACATGGGGACATCGGTGGTGTGAAGTGTACACTGGTGAAGGGAGAAATGTGAACATTACATAACTGAAAGCCAATCATGAACAACTTTGTAATTGTGATGTCATGTTGATTCAATTTAAAACATTTTAGAAAATGGGTAGAGGGGAGATTAATGGAGCTTAATGGACTGAGTGTATGCTCTGTATGTGGGAGGCCCAGGTTTGTTACCCAGCAGTATGCTCGGTCCCCTGAGCATCACTAAACCAGGACTAATCTCTGAGCGATGCTTGGTATGGCCCAAAAACCAAAAATATTTTTTCTTAATTAAGAAAATAGCAAAATATCTTTAGATATTTCATCTAAGGGGATGTCAGATTCTCTTTCCCCCGCCAAAGAAAACGAAACCAGCCAACCAAACAAACAAAAAAATCCCTAAACCAAATCCTACGTGAAAGGATCAATATGTTAACCATTAGGGAAATTCCTCTATTAGATTGGCTAGAATGAAAAATGATGCTAAATGCTGGGGAGTGTTTGGATATTGGATCAAGAAACTTTGCTAGTAAGAATATACAGCCACTCTGGCTAACAGGCTGTCTTTTAAAAAGATAATGTGTAATATCCATACCGCTCACCCATAGCAATCTTGTATATTTATCCCAGAGAAATAAAAGCTTATCTTTATACAAAAAAATTGTACATCAGTATTTATGTAGCTTTTTCAATGAAAGCCTCTGGAAACAACCAGCTATCCATTAACTTGTAAGTGGCTAAACAAACTATAGTAATATTTACCATGAAATACTATTCAAAAATAAAAAGGAATGAACTATTGGTATATGCAGTAATCTGAATGAATCCTTAGAGAGTTACTCTGTTTAAAAAAAGTTTGTGGATTATTCATAATAAGAAATACAAAATAAATTATTTCGGTTCTGCTGGGGGCCAGGGTTTGAGGTTTGGGATGGAAATATGGTGGTGGAAGCTATAATGATGGTAGGATTGTTGTTTGAATATTAAATGTAATCAAATATTGTGAATAACTTTATAAAATATAATTAAATTAAAAAACCAAAAGGTTTATACCATATGATTTTATTCATTTAACCTTGTTGAAATTAAAGTTATAGAAATAACAGATAATGGATTGGTGGTTGCCTGTGACTGATGGGAATTTGGAGGTGGGAGAAAAATGGACCTGGCTTTAAAAGGGTAATATAGATGATTCTTGTGGTGATAGAAATATTTTTTATCTTGGCTAAATCAGTTTGGTTATGATACTATTTTTACTTTATTATTGGTTTTTTTTGGTTTGGGGGCCATAGCCTGTAGTGTTGAGGGGCTGCTTCCTGGTGATACCAGAGATATAATCTGGTTTGACTGTGTGCAAAGCAAGTACTCTACCTGCTGGACTATCTCTGGCCCCTTGGTTATGATAGTGTATCAGATGTGGCTATTGGGGGAGAGTGAATAAAAGGTACCAAGGATCTCTGTTGAACTTTTACAACTGCATGTATTCTACAATTGTCTTGAAATAATGGATTGGATTTTAAAAAATAATTAAAAATACATAATTATAGAAATGTATATTTACATTTTAATAGTAACTAAGAACACTTTTCCCCCTCTCTCCCCCTCATCTCTGGAAACAGAAGGAGTTCGTAATATTTCAAATCAGCTCTCTATAACAACCAAGATTGACCGGGAACACCCAGATATGAGAAACTATGCCAAGCAGAAAGGTTGGTGGGATGGCAAAAAGGAATTCGATTTTGCTGCAGCATACTCTTATCTTGATACAACCAAGTTGCTGATTTCATCAGGCAGATATTGTGAAGGTTACAAGCTGCTAAATAAACACAAAGGTAATTTTAGCATTAAGATAACAACAATGAAAGCCACTTTATTTTGCATAGATGTATTATAAGGAATCATTCTTAGTAAAGACATCATTTTATTAAAACTGAAAATGTGATATTGTAGGTATTTTTCTAGTCAAGTGCTACTTAGTTGTGAGAGAGTAACGTTCCTTTTGAAGGACAAGTTCAGATTCATAATCCTCAAACCCTCTTCCAAATCTTCATGATATTCTTACCCTCATTGGGATTACTCCTCAGAATTCACTGAAACATGGAGACAGCCTTCTCTGACTATTGCTGCAGCTTTCATTCATTTATCTTTTAATTTTCTTATTTCAAAGAAGACACACTGAAGATAATATGAACTTCCTTTTTCATTCCAAATTTCCAGAAATACTGAGTAACATATTTCAACAAAATAGATAAATATTATATGACAGGTATAGCTAGGTTCTGATGCAGAAGAAGTCACCAGGTACTAGAAATGAACAGAGGAGACTTAGGTGTTCATGATATTTTCTCCCCTTGCAGTTTTCTTCCTTTGTGTCAGAAGTGGGTGTGGGTTGAATTGATTTAAAGCATGGGTAGGTACCTAGGTGAAGGACCCATTTTGAAGTAAGAACTGGGCTTCTTAGTAAGATCTGGCATATATTGGGGAAAAAAAGCTACTTTCTCCCTATTTAGAGTCCTAATGTGAAGTTGAAGAGTTTGCTGTCTCAGTCTGTGGGTCAGTATACACTATCATGAGCAACTGAAGTCTGAGCTACAAGTATTTTGTAGATGTAGGTGAGGTTACCTGGCTGTACTGAGAAACAAATGCTAGTTTAGAAGTAGCATATCTCTCTCTATACACACCCATATGTGAATATTTGACCTGATAAAAATTAGGTTTTTATTCAAATTTCCCAGCCATGTGGAAATTATGCTTTAAGCAAGCAACATAAATGCCATTGAAAACATTTAAATTGTATGGGTATTCAGATACATGTCGCTTAAAGTCATTTTGGGACATGTAGACTTGATGAAATTGACAGTAGTCCCAAAAGGCTTACAGCCTAGGTATGTATTGGGCTGTCTACATCTGGGTTTTTGTAGTTACATTCTGTGATGATCACACAATGCCGAAATCAGCCCATTATGCATTTTCTCAGAACATAATCTATCCTTCAGTGATGCATGATTGCTTCTATATTTACAATGGATAGTTTCTTCTATTATGTTCTCAACTTCACTGTTCATTCTTTCAGCATTGTCTAATGTACTGTTAATTCCTTTAATGATGTATATGCATGCAGGAGACCCTGGCTTGATCCCCAGCATTGCTTGATCCCTCAGGCACCCAGGGGTGACCTCTGAACACAAAGCAGGGAGTTTCTGACCACCACCGGGTGTCGTCATAAAATTGAAAAAAAGAGGCCCTTACAGGTGTCAGGGAGAGAGAGAGCTCAGAGGGCTGGAGGCCTGCATAGCATGGATGAACCCTGAGTTCTCTCTCAGTACCACATACCCCCCAGCATCGTGCTAGGTGTGATGCTGGTAACCCTCTAAGCTCTGCTGTTGGGACTCTCCCCCAAAATCTTCTAGTAGGCTTTTGTGTCTTGCTAGCAGATAATAACAGAAAAATAACTTGTAGGTTCTGGAGAGATACTACAGTGAGTAGGGCACTTGCCTTGCACACGGCTGACCCAGGTTCAAACCCTGGCACCACATATTGTCCCCCGAGCCCCACCAGAAGTGATTCTTGAGCAGAGAGCCAGAACTTACCCCTGAACATCACCAGGGGTAGCCCCTTACCTCCCATCCAAAAAATAAAAGTTAATTATTATTGTATAAAAAAGTGATTTTGCTTAGGCAGTTACTGTTCCAGATAATTACCACTAGGGTTATCCTCCAATAAATTTATGATAGACATATTCTCCCTTACTTGAAGGGTAAAATGATATTATAAAGTAGTTAGAAAACAGCCACTCAGAGACAGATCAGTAAATGATTGATATTTGCTTTTCAGGCATTCATTTAATAAACAAATTATTGTTAGTTATGTGGTAGGGCAGAAAAATGTTTGTGACAGAATGTTTTTAGAATGCTTGAACATTATTTTTTTTAATGTTCTAAAAATCTAGTATGTTAGTTTCCAGAATAATAAAAGATATAGTTTCTTTCTTCCTTTTATTTATTTTTTTTGAGGGGAGCAAGGTATACCTAGCGGTGCTTAGTGGCTACTCCTGGCATTATGCTCAGAAATCACTCCTGGCAGGGCCTGAGACCATATGTGGTTCTGAGGACGAAAGGGCGTCAGCTGCATGCAAGGCAAGTGTATTAACTCCTGTATTATTTGTCAGCCCTTTAAGTTTTCTATAGTTCCTAATGTTAGTTAATCATTTTAATTTGCTTATAGTTTTTTTTTATTGTCTTTTTAATTGTTGTTGGTTTGGAGCCACACTAGAGAGTGCTCAGAGCTTACTCGTGGCTCTGCTCAGGGTACCATATGGGATGCTGGGGATTGAACCCAGATCAACCATGTGCAAGGCAAGTGTCCTACCCACCATACTATTACTTCGGCTGCTATTTTTAGTTTTTTGGGGGGTAAACCCAGGAGTGCTCAGAGCATACTTCTGATGCTGTGCTCATGGATCGTTCCTGATTGTACTTGCGGAACCATATGTAGTATTTGGGATCAAACCAAGGATGGCTACGTGCCACGCAAGGGCCATTACCTGTACAATTCTCCATTCCAGTTCATCATTTTTGGTTTTTTAAATTTAAACTATATTTTTAAATCAATTGAATATGTAGAAAATGCTACAAGAATTTAAATTTTAGGCTTATATTTTTTATAATGCTAGGAGTTGCAATTTCCACATCTATTTTCCTTTATTAAAACATCTCAAGAGCTAAACATTATGCTGACTATGATTGTTGTCCTTTTTAAACAACCATGTAAAGTAGGCGTATTATTTTACAAGTAAGGAAACTGTATTTGTGCGCTCTTCACTTATGTCTTCAATGAAGCTGAAAAAGAATGAACCTTTTTGGTTCACACCCAGCCAATGCACAGGGGTCACTCCTGGCTCTGCGCTCAGGAATCACCCCTGGAGGTACTCAGGGGACTATATGGGATGCTGGGAATCGAACCCGGGTCAGCCGCGTGCAAGGCAAACGCCCTACCCACTGTGCTATCGCTCCAGCCCAAGAATGAACTTTTACTTATCCTAATTTTTCTCTTAGCACTTGATCAGTGTTTTAAACTAATGTGTGTGTGTGCTTAAGTTTTGTTGAATATAGTAACAAAGAATTTTTTGGCTAATTTCAGTAAAAAACTTGTAAATAGTGTAACTATTTACACTATTTGCACTATTTAAGATCACTGTTCTGTACATTCCCACCCGACACTGCACTTAAAGATTCAGGACACAAAATTAGTAAATATCCCTTTTTTTTCCTTTTTTTGGGTCACACCCAGTGATGCTCAGGGGTTACTTCTGGTTCTGCATGTAGGAATTACTCCTGGTAGTGCTTGGGGGACCAAATGGGATGCTGGGAATCGAACCCAGGTTGGCCACGTGCAAGACAAACGCCCTACCTGTTGTGCTGTCCCTCCAGCCCCAGTAAATAGTCTTGAAAAAGTGAAACAACTACTCATAATGAAGGTGGAGAGGAAAATGTTAAGAATCCGAAGATTTATGGAAATCGGGCAATAGAAAGAAAAAAGACAATTATAAATTAGCCTATCATACAATAATTGTTAACTACAAATAAATGGATTTGAAATGCACACATGATTATAGTTATAGATGCATGTAGCATGGAACATTTCTCCCCAAATGTAAAGTACAGTTCATCCAGTTTTTCTATGCTTAGCCAAAGAGTAAATGTCTTTTTGATACTTTCATGAGAAATTGCCGACTAGTACATTATGGTTAATTTTTTCCTGTTATTTTTCTAGATGGAAGAGCCTGCCTCTCTTCTTTCCACCTATTCCTGTCTGATAGCTATTAACTGTGCTGCATGTATATCCAAATTGTATCTATATTCACTCATGTATTTTAAATAACTAGTTTAAATTGCTGTGAAATTGCACCCTGTGTTTTGCATTCATTTTCATGAACCCTGCCACTGCAGTCTTAGTACTTATTCAATGCTTGCTAGTGGATTACTTATAGCCATCCTCCTCAAGTGATCATGTAAATCCTCCTTTCATTTTGAGAATTGTAGGTTTTGAATATAGAAAACATTTTCACGATACCTTTATTATTGCAGTGTTACGGTTCTGACACTGTTTTCATTAAAACTTACCATTTATAGGAATTGAGATTTGAATCATTTTAAAATCTCACTAGGTGTTGAAGCTGTGTGCCTGATAAATAGGTGTGGGCTGTAGGCCTTTGCATTATTATTTAGTTTTCATATTAAGTGCTAATTTTAGGTATACCATTTCCCCCTTGCATTTAAAAAAAGTTAACAGGAAGATACTTCTATAAAATTATATACCATTTTCTATTTTTTAGGGGGTTGGGTTTTTGGCTCAGTGGTTATTCCTGGTTCTGTGCTCAGGGGTCACTCCTGGCTGTGCTCAGGAGGCTATCTATGGTGCTGGGGTTGGCCACACACAGGGCAAGTGCCTTAACACCTGTCACTGTCACTGTCACTGTCCTCCCGTTGTTCATCGATTTGCTCGAGCAGGCCCAGTAACGTCTTCATTGGAGACTTTTGTTACTGTGTTTGGCATATCAAATACATCACGGGTAGCTTGCCAGGCTCTGCCGTGAGGTCGAGATACTCTCGGTAGCTTGCCGGGCTCTCCAAGAGGGGCGGAGGAATCGAACTCGGGTCGGCCATGTTGGCTGCGTGCAAGGCAAACGCCCTACCGCTGTGCTATGACTCAACACGGGAAACCTCACCCGGCCCGGACACGGACAGGATTGACAGATTGATAGCTCTTTCTCGATTCCGTGGGTGGTGGTGCATGGCCATTCTTAGTTGGTGGAGCGATCTGTCTGGTTAAT